TTCTTCCTCCTCCCACCTCCAGAAAAAAAAAAAAAAAAGCCCCCCCATAGGAAAATCCGAGATAAAAAACGAAGAATATGCGGTAGAATTTACGCGATAAATTTCGAGGAACATCCAAAGAAGAGCGCGATATAATGCCACAGTGGAAGAAAGTGAATCCCGGTTGGACGAGTCCACGCGAGATACTCTCTGGCGTAAAGGTATCCCTAGACTGGAATTCTTCACTAAGCTCACGGCAGAGCAACCCTGGGCGTCGACCTGCCGCCATCACGACTGGCCCGGTCACCCAGCAAAGGTGCAGACGCACCCTCCACACCCTCGTCTCCATCTCTCACAGCCCCAGCTCCAACCCTAACTCCAACGCCGCTGGCGTTAGAGCCCACCCATTTCCCGCGATAAATGATATAATGTTGCAGGATGAATATGATATCGAAGAATACAGAAACATTGCCCAGAAGCAGCTTGATGGGGTTACCCGTAATGCCGCTCCAGTCGTCCTCGAAGGCGGAGTCGATGAGTAACTGTAGGACGGACAGTATGCCACCGGTGAAGTCGAGTAGGATAGCCGAGATGCTCCAGCCGACGGTTGACTTGCGCTTGTAGTTCACCCATGCTTGCGGGATGTATTTTATGATTGTTATGATGAGCTTTACGTAGGAGAGTGCGTAGGTCTGTTTTTGAATTTAGTTTTGATTTGATTTGATTTTTTTTCAAATCAGTTAATTGTTTGCTTCCTGGGGGTTACACAATTCCAATACGACACATGATGGGAATTGGAGATATGATATCGAAGGGAAAAAAATGAAATGGACAAAAAAAAAAAAAAAAAAAAAAAAAAAGTAGGAGAACATACCACGTCAATCCAAGCCCAATCTTGGGGGTCAAGGCTAGCCCCCGTCCCCCGCGCCGCAACAACAACCGCCAACAGCGTAACAACAAAAATACAGCCCCAAAACACCCCAGCGATAGGCCTGCTTATCCGCTGGAACCTAGATACCTTAAACCCCCAAATACTCGGCCAGAACTGGCTCAACACCAGCGAGCTGAGGACGACGGCATGTATAGCGAAAGCGACGTCGTTGAAACGTACGGTGGGCTCTGGGGAGATGGGGTGACGGGCCGCGTACTGCTCGCGGATTAGAGGGGAGTAGAGGAAGGCCAAGGCGTATATCATGTAGCAGATAAAGCCTAGGGTGTTTGTGGCTGGAAAGTCGATGGCAAGGCCATGGGTGGAGCGTCGGCGGTAGTTTAGGATTGGTTGCGGGTAGAAGGAGGCGGACCAGCAGAAGGCGCTTATAAATAGAATTAGTTAGGATATGGTTTTAGTTTTTTGGTTGGATTTTAAAGGAGGAGGAGGTGGTGGTGGTGGTGTTGTTTCATATGGGAGTGAAGCTAGCTGGGAGGGAGGGTTTTTGGGAGAAGTACTAGATCCAACCAAGGAGGCTGGAGTGTGATGGGGCATCATATCAGCATTACTCTTCTTCTTTCCACACTCACTTCCCCGTGGGAATGGGTCTGATACGGAGGACATAGCTACCGTGATAATGCCTTGATGAAGACTTCGCCTTGAGGAGTCATGGCGTCTGATTTGTGGTTCTTGAGCTAAGGTCGACAGAGTTTATTCAGTCATAAACGACCGCTGATTGGCGGAAACGAAAATATGTGTAAAGGTAGATTTCATCGGGAAACAGAGGGTGGCCACATGGTGAAGTGAGTAAATATTGAGCAAGTTCCACGGAATGGCGATGTCTTGTCACGCCGTCGGAGCTGATAAGTAGCTGATATTGTGATAAGTTAACTAGTTGTACGGCGTAGCTATCTCGTTTGTTTGCACGGTTTGCACCAACTCTCCAGGCAAGAAGGTTTGTTCGAGGGGCGGCCATGATCTGCAGCAGACGTTATTCCGGACCAGGCTAACGGAGTAAAAGGAAAGGGGAATATGTGTTCAGTTCAATATAAAGATAATGGACAAAGGGGAACGTGTGATCAGTTTCCATACAGAGATAATGCACGCATTGTGCTGTACAGCTATACAATTATTTGGCAGCAGTAATTTGCTGTTTGCACAGGAGACGCAGTGAGGAATTGCTGGCAGTTGGGATACATACATACTCAAACCTGCAGCCAATGACGCAATGCGGGGCGTCCTGCTGAGTCATCGACCCGTTACCGTAACTTAGCTTAATTACCATGATTACCATACCGTTGTCCCGGTTATTAGCTGGCAACGCTAATCCCGAAACAGCAATCCGTTTTGGTTCTCCAACAGCGACAAGGAACTTGCACGATCAATGGCCAGATACTGGGCCATCGCCTTGCTGCGGTGGATCACAACAACTTGTCCCATACGTAGCCTGGCTCCGTTGCTCGCCCCCTGTGACTTGACAAAGTATCTCTCTTTTTTGACAACCCTTCTCTACTTGTACTTGAACTCTTTTTGTGGTGAAATTGGGCATTTCTCTCGTTGGGAGTTCCCCATATCTGCCTGAACCTCTCGCTGGACCGATCTCGGATTAACCTGTATCCTCTCCAAAAGACAAGGAAATCGCCTCTTGCAGCTGCCCGGGAGCTATTCAGCATTACTCGCGACTTCTTGCCCAGCCTACGAAGATACATCGTCCATACCTCTAGGCTAGCTTATGGTGTGCGCTTCAGAGTGAGAGATCTTGTACGGTCTCCTCTGCCGGCTCTGCCGGTGTTGGAACTCCCAAAAGCAAGCAAAGGGGCTGAGGGGAGCTGCTCCAAGGGGAATGGGAGGGGACGGCAATCGCAAGGCTAATAGATAACCATATCCCTTGCTTGGCTCAATTGAAGACCGGAGAATGTCTTCTTTTCCGCAGCTGGCCCCGCCGGGTTCGAGTACCTACTCGTCAAATACTTTGCACGTCGGGGATGGAACATGGGATTCACAACGGAATACCTTCCTTTTGCCGAATCTGATGGGCTTGAATTTTGAGACTATGCGATATAATGGTTAGTTCTCAATTTGTTCACTTATATTACTTATATTCATAACGTAAGGAAGAAATGAAAGAAAGAGTAAAGCGAAAGAATGCTGACTCCTAAAATAGGCATGGGAAACAGGTTTCGGGAAATGGCTGGCTACCATTCCTTAATTCGAGCTCACGGTGTTATCGCTGCCATTACGTTTCTATGCCTCATTCCGACCGCCATATTAATGGCCCGTTTCTATTCTCCATCCCCATTTTGGGCGTTGAGATACCACATATGGCTCCACATTCTCTCCCTGTTTTTGTCAACGGTTGTTTTCGTTTTAGGATGGTTTGCTGTCGGGCCTGAAAGGAGTTTAACAAATCCCCATCATGGAATCGGGTTGGCCATATACGTTTTGATCATTTTTCAGACACTTTGGGGCTGGTTTGTGCATAAGCGAACAAAGGGAAAGCGGTTGTTCCATATGCCCTTGAAGATTATGGTAAGTCAAACTCCGATACTTCACACACGAACATGATGGTTTGGCATAGACATATATATATGTACCCAAAAATATGTGATAATGGATTCACTAACAAGAACTAGCTCCACAAATGGCTCGGTCGAGTCATTGCATTACTTGGAATTGCCCAGATACCCCTTGGGCTTACTCTTTATGGATCGCCATTGGCTCTATTCGTCCTCTACACCCTCGCAGTCTTTACCCTGGTCGTCATTTATTTCATCCTAACATACCTCCATGAGCGTCGGATGGGCGTAGACTATGACAGTCGTGGAAGTTATATGTCAGGTCCCGAAGTCGTAGAAGATGGCCACGGTCACAGCAACTTCGGCCGTCTCGCAACCGCTGGAGCTGCAGGGGTAGGACTCGCCATGCTTGGAAGGCGCATGAGAAATCGATCGAGAAGCAGAACGTCCGTAGACGAATCGGACACAACACCTCGACCCGCACCGTGATGACGAAAAAAGTGATCACCACCATGGCGGGGGTGGGTGGGGAAAACGCCTCTTCTTCCAAATAGGTGCCCTTGCTGGTGCTGCGGGTCTGGCGGAAAAGTATTTTGATAAACGCCGTGAACGGGAGAGTGATACCGAGTCGGGAAGATACGAACCAGCACATGGAAATGGACAAGGTAATACCCAACATGACAGCCTCTATGATGATTCCTCGGTTCAGATCGCGGAAGCAAGACCGCGGCCTAGCCATCCACGGCCATACGATGGGCCTCCCAGCCGCCCACCAAGTATAGGATACACCGACAGCGGATATCTAGAGGAGAGCGAGCGAGGCCATGGGGTCCGTAACGCACTTTTTGGCGCGGGTGCATTCGCTGCACTGAGAAATATTTTCAAAAGTCGTGAGAGAAGAGAGCAGGATCGAGTCGAAGAGCTTCGGCGGCAGGATATTGAAAACGAGCGAAGAGCGAGGCAAAGTACGAATCATCGGAGATACACAGGTGATGGCCAACCTCCGCTGTCGCGTAGAACTGCTGGGCGGAGAAACTCATTCAGTACTGAGATGTCAGAGAGTACAGATCCTCACGTCGCCCCTCCTCCAGGTGATATTCCCCCAATTCCACCCATTCATCATCACCACCATCATCATCATCGCACTGCCTCCGGATCAGACACTGTAACATCAATTGGTGGTGTTGGCGGTGATGGGAAGCAGCCTCAAAGATCATCAGCAGCATCAGCAGCGACAGCGACAGCAAACTCCGGCCGCCGCCGGAGAGGTCGCGACCAATCCGTCGAATCTGAGCCCGTCTCCATCAACGTGAAATTCCACAATGACAAGGGCCGCCGTGTAACTCTCCGCCGCCTGACACCAGAAGAGGCAGCTGCGTCACGGAGAGCGAAGAAAAGGGATCCTCACCGGTCCAGTCACCGGAGGCATGGGAGTGTCAGCTCGCTCTCAGGCCATGAGGGAACGGACGATCATTGGCGCCGTGTCGAAGAGCGGGAACGCATGCAGCAAGAGCAGATGGATGTTGCTGCTGTGGCGTCTAGTGGCGGCGGCGGTCTCGGAGGAGGTGGTGCTTCCACCGCCGCGCCAGCTTCGACTCTAGGACCACCAACACCGACGCCGATACGCAGCTACTCCGGTGTTCCACCACCTGGCGGCAGTATCTACTCCAGCCCATTGCCACCTCCCCCACATATACCTGGTGCTACTGCTCCGTCAAGTTACCTCAACTCTCCTCCACCTGGCAGTACTGATTTGAGTAGCCACGCCAGTAAGAGAGAGCGGAGGAGGGCAGAGAGGAGGACGATGTCAAGGCAAGGGAGGCATAATGTGGAGTTTACTTGAAGATAGTAATTCCCTTTTCATTCTTACTTTCCATGATTTTCGTTTGTGATTTTGAAATGTTCCGATGGATGTGACTCATGTTTTGAATGCTTTTGATGGCCCCATTTTTTTCTTTGCTCTCTTTTGTCTTTGGATCAGAATATAATATGGATCTGAATGCAATGTACTGTACAAATTCTCCCTTGCCTTCTCCTTTTTTTTTTTTTAAAAAAAAAAAAAAATTCTTTTGTTTCACCCACCTTCCATCCTTCATGTTTATTATTGTTATTTATATTTTGTGCCGTTGTGGTAGATACATATATCTTCATCCTTGAAATGTAAACAGATGCAATATCATACTCCGTTCCTCAACCTTGTCTTGGTAGAGTATTTGGAGGCCCCTTTCTCATTCCTTAGCCGTTCCCAAGCACACTTTTTTCTTCATCTTTTTCTTATTTTCCCCCACAATACTTATAGAGAGATGCCATACAAATTTAAATGCACTGCATTGCCACAACTGTCACATGCTATCCCGACTTGCAGTCATCGACTGGCTATCACCAGCTCCGACTCCGACAGAAATGAGGAAAAAATGCTTGTAAAATGATATACATATTCAATTCAAATATATCAATTGTGATAACGAGATAACTGAACAGTAATACTAGCAATAATCTCATCAAAATTATTGCTAAAGGTGATAACTATAAATAGACATGAATAAAGCACATAGGGAAGAGAAATTTCGGCTGGGCATTAATGTTACACTACTCAGTATTGTATAAAGAAAAAGATTACCCATTGTGATGAGTTTGACAGGTTTGGGGTGGTGCGGAATATGATTGATTTTTGTGAAGAGGATAGATCTATCTATTTAAGCGCCGCTTGCAGGCTTTCCAGAACCTATATA